GCCTCCCAAGTAGCTGGGACCACAGGCGCCCGCCACAACACCCAGCTATTTTTTGGTTGCAGCCGTCATTGTTGTTTTGGCGGGTCTGGGCTGGAAATTCGAACCCGCCACCTTAGGTGTACGTGGCTGGCGCCTTAGCCGGTTGAGCTATAGGCACTGAGCCAAAGAGAGGGATTTTTATCCCTGAAGCTTGCTATCTTTATTTACAACCAGGACTGAGCAAAGTAAAGATTGCTTATTTGCCTGCATTTGAGAAAGGGGAGGACTAAATGATCAACAGGAGGAAAGAAACTACTAATTAGGCTGAAATACCACTGGGCTTTTACCTATACCTAGGCCAAGTGTGGATTTTTATAAACTTCAGGAAAGAGGCATGAAGCTTGCCTCACATTAACTGTATATTTCTAAAATGTGTGCACAAATCAAACCTATTAAATACTTCAGAAAATGTTAATATTTAAAGGCACTTTGCAACAGTCCCTTTAAAAGTTTTGGAGGGATAGCTTTAAAAAAAATTACAATAAATAAGGCTGGGTGCAGTATAATCCCACCACATTCGGAGGATGAGGTGGGAGGAGCACTTGAGGCTAGGGATTCAAGACCAGCCTGGGCAACATAGTGAGACCCTGTCTCTACAAAAAATAAGTTTTAAGAGAATTACAGCAAGTAAACTGAAAAAAAAAAAATTCCATATTCCCACCAATGTTTTCAAGTCTCTTGTCTACAGAGCAGTGATTTTCAATAGTGTGGCATGAAAGGATCTTAGGTGTGCCTTGAAAAAATTTAAAGATCACTAATTAAATTATTTGTGAAAGAAGTTGAAAGCACAGTAAGTATATTCTTCTTTTAACTCTTTTTTTTTTGATTAACGTAATTTAAGTATGCTGTGAAAATTTAACTATAGGTTCAAGTGTGCCATGAGATTAAAAAGGTTGAAGAACAGCGCTGCAGAGGAAATTTGTCTGTAGAAAACCCTTACTTGTGGCTTGGTGCCTGTAGCACAGTGGTTATGGCGCTGGCCACATACAACTAGGCTGGCGGGTTTGAACCAGGCCCGGGCCAGCTAAACAACAATGACAACTACAACAAAAAAATAGCCGGGCGTTGTGGTGGGCACCTGTAGT